GGGTGGGTAAAGCGGCTGAGATCTTAAATTTGTAGGTCTTTAGAGCTCAGGAAATCAGTTTTGGGGATAGTTAGAAAAGAGATGCAGGGACCATCCTTTCGGGGATCTCGGAAGGAGAAAGGTCACTCCAGCCTGGAGAGGAGGGGCTGAGCTCTGGCGCGGAGCCCTGCAGGCGTCCCTTTTCCTGCGGCCCCTCACTCCAACTCTTGAAGTCCTTGTTCGGGAGCCTCAGCACCGCGGACAGCGCCTGCATGAACCCCTGAGCCACGTCTATGGGTGTCCTGTGGGCAGACCCCTGCCAAGCGCACCTCCCAGTTGAGCTAAACTCTGATCAACTCTTTTTCTCTTTCCTTCTCTCATTCCGCCCTGTGCCCACCTCTGTGCCGCAGCTCGCGCCCCTAACATGAGACTGCCACTGCTCGTGTCCGCGGGAGTCCTGCTGGTGGCTCTCCTGCCCTGCCCGCCATGCAGGGCCCTCCTCAACCGGGGGCCCGTCCCGGGCGCCCGGCAGGCCCCACAGCTTCCCCAGCCCCTGGAGTTCTTCCAGCCGCCGCCGCAGCCCCAGCAGCCCCAGCAGCCGCAGGCTCGGCCGGTCCTGCTCCGCATGGGGGAGGAATACTTCCTCCGCCTGGGTAACCTCAACAAGAGCCCTGCTGCTCCCCCGTCGCCTGCCTCCTTGCCTCCCGCCGGCAGCAGCGGCAGCAGCGGCAGCCGCCTTTCCTCGGACGAGGTGACCGCCAACTTTTTCCGCGCGTTGCTGCAGCAGCTCCGGCGCCCGCTCCACACCCCGGCGGGTCCCGCGGAGCGCGGCGCCGAGAGCGCCCTCGGTGGCCGCCAGGAGGCACCGGAGAGGCGGAGGCGGTCCGAGGAACCTCCCATCTCGCTGGATCTCACCTTCCACCTCCTCCGAGAAGTCTTGGAAATGGCCAGGGCCGAGCAGTTAGCGCAGCAAGCCCACAGCAACAGGAAACTGATGGAGATTATTGGGAAATGAAACGGCGCGTTTGGCCCCAAATTCTGCATTTAGCACAAAAATAATAAAAAAAGATTTAAAAATACAATACTACAGTATTCTGTACCATAGCATTGCTCTGATACCATCTGTTTATTTTTATATAGCTTGAAACATGGAAGATGTCCAGCAAGAGCGCCTATGCCCCTTAATTAGCATGCACAAAGTGTACTCACGTGCTGTAACAGCAGCACAATGTTATTTGTATTGTCTACTTTTAGTTTCCATTTCCAGGTGTCTTTAAGGGTGTTTTAAAGAGAGTATAGACCCAAGAGGAAACCTTTGGAAGAAGCAGTCTCAAGTCACCCAATTGACTTTGTTGTGGTCTGAGCCGAAGAGAATGTCATTCTTTTCGGTGGGTGAGACAAAATCTGTAAGCTCTTTGAATCAACTTTTCCTGTAAATGTTTCAGTAATAAAACCTCTTTCCAATCCTTGGTCAATGTGATTGTGTAAGAGAATGTTCAATATTTATATTTTTAATAAATGCTGCAAAGGTAATCATGAGTTTATTTATCCTCTTCCGTGCTAGTAGGGGAAATACTGTCAGTTCCCAGCTTCCTCCAAGTTGACTTCGGCACAAGAAAAAACAAAACAAAACAAAACAAAAAAACCCTTGTATTTTATTTTCTACTACAAATACAAACATATCTGTGGTTAGATCCCGCAGTCAGCTTCGGCTCATCACTGTAACTCACATTACTTCTATGAGATTGAGTTGAATAACTTGGGAAGTTGCTTCCAGCTCTAAGACTTGGTGACTATAAATGGACTATCGATTCATAGTGAAAATAACATTTAATCCTGATTAACTATGAGATGTAAAATAATTGGGGAGGGTTGGGGAAGGAGGAAAGGAAATGAGGAGAAGGGCTGAGGGAAGGCATGCCTCCAAACTTAGGGACAAAATGCTGCATTTTTTTCTATGAGAAAGGCTCATATACTATCAAGCTATTACTTTGCTACCTCAGAATATTTTTTTCTAAGCTATTTTCCAATGCATACCTCTAATAGGAGAAACTTGATAGCCTCTTCACTTAAAACAACTAAATTTTATTACTATAAGATGTCACTTGGGAACAAAAATTTATAAAGAATGTTTTAATTTTAATAACTCCCCAAATACCCTCCTCATCGATGTCTATGCCAACTTTAATCACTTTAATCCTTAGAAATATAAACTATATTCACTTTTAAAATCAAACAGCATAGCTAATTAGTTTTACAATGCATTCAACTTTGGTAGCTTAGCTATAACTTAAAAAAATTCAATTGAATGTTTAATACTTCAAAATTGAGTGTGTGAAAATGCTTCATCCCTTGGGATCCTTTAAATCCACTTGACAAAAGGATTAATCTTTACTTAATCCTTAAGTAAAGATTTAAGTAAAGGACTAAATCCTTAAGTAAAGATTTGGTCAAGATTAAGATTTAATCTTGTCTAAAGATAACATAAAACACTGAATAAATCATTACAAGACTAAGTTGTTAAAAACAGCATTTATTTAAGTTCATACAGAGTAAAGTTATACTTATATTCTAAAGGAAGCATTATGGTAGGACAAATACAGCATGATTTAAATATATACACACACAGAATACACAATACACAATACAGTATTGTGTGTGTGTATATATATTTAAATACATGTAGTTGTTCTACAGTTTAGCAGATTGGTGCCTCAGTGGATACATGAGACAGTAGCTAGCTCCTGTTGAAAAGTTTTTTTCAGTTAAAATGCCGGATCTGCATATTTAAAGCTAAGATTAGAGAAATGCCCTAAGCTTTAGGCCTTCTGGACTATGACAGTGTCACCAGTCAAAGAACATTTCTAGATATATATCCAGCGATATGTATTACGGAAAAGAGGAAACCTTTGTGAAACATTTCATACCTTTGGTCAATGATTTACCTTTTGTCTATATATTCATAAAATCAGTCACTTCTGCATTAACACTGAATTTCACTGACCATCTGCATTGGTAAAAAGGAAAGAGAATAAGAGCTACTATGATATAATATTCAAAGCCAGTGCCTATCGAGACAAATGTGTAGTGCCTGCTTTTTTCAACACTTGCACTTCTTAACGCACGCACACGTGTACCACACTTATACATCCTTCACAATGTTTCCCCCGCAATAAGAGTTTTGCATAAAATCAAGTTTCTGTTTTCCAATGCTTTCTATAATTATTTTCTCAAAGTATTGCTTTTCCTTAATGTGTCTCATAAGTCATCTGGAATTAAAGGGGTTTTTTTGCAGAAATCCTGTCCAGAGGTCCCTTTCATCATCTGCATAATATTAATTTCATCTAGGCTCCCTGCTACCTGTGTGCATCTCAGCCAGGCAGACAGAGGGGCAGCAGTTGGAATGAACATCATTCTTTCAGGGAGTTCAACCAGGAAAAAGAGAAGACATGGCGAGCTGGCTCAGAATCGGCGCCATTCCCGCTCCCTGAAGCTGCAGCCTGTGCCTGGAGGGGAGGGTCCTCAAATCCAATCTGCAACAGAGAAAATCTGAGTCAAAGGAAGATGGGACTAGTGCCTTTGGGGGTGGTCCAGCCACTTTTCTACTGAGGAGAAAGGATCATCATCATCATAATAATTATATAGGACATAATTATTATTAGGGATGGGAAGCAAGCTCGTTATCTTGGCCATGATCAAAGCCATGAAAGTAATTCACACTTATGAGCCAAAGAGGGACAACAGTGACGCATGCAGTGGAGGCAAGTTCTTGGGAAAGAGTCGGGGTAGCCTACTTTTTAAAAAAAGTCTACTTGTGCAGTATTTCCTGAGATGAAAGATGCATTGAAAATAACAGGAATTTGGATTTAGAAAAGTCTGCAGAATAAATAAGATCCTATTTTAAATGATATTACTATATCACAGGACATATAATCTCTCCACTGTTAAAGTAAGAATTTCTAACTCGGATGTGAATATATACATATAGTATAACTTCTGCAAAAATGCAGGCTTAGTTTCCAGCAAATCTTGAATGAAAGGACTTTTTTTTAGGCCATAAAAATCTAATAACATCGATATTTCAAAGAGATATCTATCCTTTATAGCGATAGCTCTATAAAAGATATTTATCTTGTATAGATACCTGACAGATACAAGTTGTAATTTTGAAGTAATCGATCAATCTACTCTCATAAGTGAAATTTATTTATGTTGCTTTGAGTTTAAAACATAATAACTTGATGGAATGAAGGACAATCATGCAGTCTTAGTGAAATGCAGTTTGATGTATAAACTCCAACTGTTTACATTGAAAGGGACCATGACAAACACAGGGCTTCCTAAGAGAACTACCAAAGACCGGGAAACATATTCTGATGACATCACTGCTGAAGTTATCCCACCAGATAGAATGCCAGTGATTTCAAAGCAATGAGGTAGCCACATGCATTCAACTCAGAAGCCCCGGGTGATTTTATGAAGCTGCTATATGAATGGATAATACTTGGCACAGGCAAAGCAGAGCTTGGATGAATATGTAGTTTTGTTGCTGCTCAAAAGACTTTTGAATGAAAAATGAGTGCTTGTCCTGCACTTTCCCAGATTTTACCCTAAATACATGTTTTGGTGTAGTGTTTCAAGTTCAGTAAGATTATCCCAACTCCTTATGGCTTTGGGATTATCCCTCCCACCGCCATGTTGCTCCCTGAAAGAAAGTTAGGACGGGCCAGAAATCATATCAGCCACAGCAGAATAAAACTGCAGCACATAGTTTTCTATGAAGGGGTAGTTAAGGCATCGAGTACAACTGGGCTTTTACAAAAAGGCTGCTATTGGATTCTATTGTTAATGGGTTAGCTACCTCAATGTTCTTGAAGTTGAGGTGGAATAAATATCATCTTGACAGAATCATGTGCCTATTTATGGACCTCAAATTCTTCTCTTCCCCACCATAGTCACATTAACTCTTACAAATCCTAAAACAACAACAATGAAAACCCAAGTGATCTGGGCCTATTGACACATAAGACTCTTATCTCACCATTCTATATGAGTAAATAGTGAATTCTGCCTAGATGAACAGACCATCAGGGTCCATTCTGTAGCCTATTTTCCTTGAAGGCAATTTGTAATCTAGAAGAATTTTACATGACAGCTGTGCTAAAATGTCTAAAGGGTGAAACTAGTTGGGTAAGGTATTTTCTGCAGAGGGATATAGTCTTTGTGAAACTGCTGGTTTGCTAACAAACCATTTGGGACTGCTTTTGGAATTTCTATATATTTTTGTGCTTTTTGTACTCGAGATTATAATCGACCTTCCATTTAAAATGTTTTAGCTGTTAATATTCTACAGCCTTCAAAACTGCTGGCATTAAACAATTAGGGTTTGCTGCTTTCACACCCAACATTCTCAGTCAGTTATTAGATTTTCCTCCAAACAATATGAACCTTATCTTTCATATAAACTAACTTTCAGAGAAGAAAGGCCAGTGGCAGAGTGGGGGCGCTGGGGTGGGGGTGGGGCAAGAGCAGAGATTATCCTGAGTATCTTTAGGTGATTACACCATCTCCTTGGTCTTGTTTATGTAAATTTGAGGACCTACCAACTATTTCAGCAAGGAAGTTTTATGCAAAGAGGCTTACTCTGGTTTTTGAGTCCCAGACTAACCACTTACAAACTGTATGGCACAAACAAGTCACCGAACCTCTCTGAGTCTTAGTTTTCTCTTTAGTAAAATGGAGATGAGAGCCCATCTAACAAGGTTGAAGTGAGGACTGAATTAAAAAAAAAAATATATATATATATATATATATGTGTGTGTGTATATATATATGTGTGTGTGTGTGTGTATGTATATATATATATATATATATATATATTATATATATATATATTCTCTAAAGCACTGTGCACATGCCTCACTTATATTAAGTGCTTTATAAATGTTCATTTCTCTCCCCCTCCTTTCCTTCCTTCCTTCCTTCCTTCCTTCCTTCCTTCCTTCCTTCCTTCTTTTTTACATTAGTGTCAAGGCTCCTCTGCCATGTAGAATCACCTGAGGACTGTTCATGAGGAACTATATAGCACAGTGATGACCCCCACCCCACCCCAGTAAGGAAAGACAATTATATTTGCAATGCTCATCTTTCCAGAATCAAATATCTGATTTAATTCCTTTGTCATGCTGTAATCATGGTTATCCATGACCTTCTCCAGTGAATCTCCAAGTGGCCCAACTTTATATATGGCTCTCTCATAAAGGAAGAATGAGTTAAAAGATTTAGAAACCTCCTTTTTATAAGCACAGCTCATTAAATCATAAGCAGGTATTTTTCCTATAGCCTTCCCCAAATGGAACTGTATATATGTATCCCTTTAAATCGTTTTCCAAGGCTGGCTCTCTTTCTTCACAGGAAGTGCTATTTTGGGGGAATAATGATGAACAAAAGACAGAAAATGATAAGCACAGATCTCCTTTACCAGCTTTTGAGTCTGCCCTGTATTCCAGTTTAGTTCGAGGAGTATAAAAAGGTGAAGAAAGGATTCTTAGTCCCATATTACTTTTAAATTTTGCACATTTTCCTCAGATGACAAAATAAATGAACAAACTTACAACCATCATTTAACACTGTGCCCTGTCACCATGGGGCTTCAGATAATTTGAGAAATATGAGTTTTAGTAATAAAACAAAAGCCAGGAAATGAAATAGGGAGGTAGCATCTTCCCTCTGTCTCAACTGTGACGCCCGATTTGGTCAAGATCCACAAAAGACCAGCTGAAGGGAGTGATGTACCTTTGCTTAGAGGAAAAAGGCTATTTTTCTCAGGCGAACTTGACCAGAAATTCTGGGTATTCATGAAACAGAGTCACCAGAAAGACAAAATATTTTGTTTTCCTTTGATTTCTTTCCTGTTACTATCAAATATCCTTTGAGAGGAAGAAATTGATGTCAGGTATCGTTTCGCCGCACAGAGGAGCAGGGTGATGATAGGTGCTCCCCCCAGAGCTGCATGAGATGCAGGTATCCCCTGGATGGGTTATATCATCTAGAACCAATTCCTGTTGATGGGGACTAAGGAGCATGCTTTCTGCCAGAGCCTTGCGAACATCTATCCCTGCACGCAGGACAGTTCTAGGTTATGGACAGTGTTTGCTTGGCTGAACTGTGTGGCTACACGGTATTTTGAAAAACACTTGCATCAGTTGCAAACGTTAAACATTCAGGAGCAAGGATGTGGAGAAATAGAAGCTTTTGTGCAGTGTTGGTGGGAATGTAAAATCGTGTAGCTGCTTTGGAAAATAGTATGGCGGCTCCTCAAAAAATTAAACATGGAATTACCATATGGTCCAGCAATTCCATGTTTGGAATTTAAAAGAACTTAAAACAAAGATTTACACAGATAAACAGCAGTCTTATTCACAGTAGCTAAGAGATAGAAGCAACCCAAGTGTCCATCAGTGGATGAATAAACAAAATGTGGCATATACAGATAATGGAATATTATTCAGCCTTAAAAAGGAAGGAAATTCTGACACATGCTACAAGATGGATTAATCTTGAGGACAATATGCTAAACCTGTCAGGAAAGACAAATACTGTATGATTCCAGTGATGTGACATATCTAATGTAGTAAAATCCATAGAGACAGAGAGTGGAAAGGTGGTTGCCAGAAGCTAGGGGCAGGGGCCAGCGGGGAGTAGTTTAATGGGTCAGAGGTTCAGTTTTGCAGAATGAAAATGTCCTGGAGATTGGCTGCACAACAATGTGAATATAATTAACACTGAACTGTAACTGAGAAATGGTTAAGATGCTAATTTTTATGTTATGTGGGGGTGTTTTTTGTTTGGTTGGTTGGTTGTTTTTTACCACGATTAAAATTTCTTTTTAATTTAGTAGACTTCAGATGAAAACCTGGATTTGCAGGTTCTCTTGACAAAGGGGAAATGTAGCAACCCAGCCCCTGCACGGAGAGCCCGGCAGCGCTGCCCCTTCCGACTGCACACGCGCTCTGTCCTCCTTTCCACAGTGCCGACCTGTCCCTTCTGCCTCCTCTGCCGCCATGCTGCTTTCAGTGGCCACTTCTCATTGCACTGGTGCAGTTGCTATGCTTAGAGTAAAGAGGATAGCAAACTACATCTTGTATTTATGCTTCTATCAACCTTTCCTTTTACCTGGCCTGCTTTTTCATTAATGTTCCTTTCTTAGTCTCTAAGGGCACACAAGCTTGTCGCTCTTAACAGAAGGCTAGTTTTTAGTAGGAAGGTGTCAAAGAAAAGACCATAAAACACTTAGTGGAATCTTTGGCATGATTTTTATGCTTAATGTGATGAATTTATTTTTAAAGCCAGCATGTTTTTTGTGGCAGTGTTCTTGAAAATCAAGGTGCAATGTGGCCTTCAGTGTTCAACTGAGGCCAGATGTGTCCCTGGGCACTTAGCACAGGGGACGTAACCGGGTGAACGTGCTCTTGTTTTGGCTTGGAGGGAGGGGGGCAATCCCAGTTGCCCCCTTGACCTAAATGCATCTTGC